GTGTGGACGTGTTTCATTGTCTTGAAGAATCCCCTTACGCATTGAATTCCAATCCACTAACCGACAATACATATTTTCATTTTTTCCTTATTACCTGTAGGCCTTGTCGGTCTCAATAATAATTCTTCAAAAAAATCTTGGCATGAAAATTGGATGATATATCCCACTAAAAACAATATATAATCCCAAATTTCTTGAAAGTCACCGTCACTGACTGTATCAGAATCTTGATCTAGTGCTAAAATTAATAATTTAAAAATAATTAAAAAAATTTGAACCCAAAATTTTTTAAAATTGAATTAAGAAGTGTAAAATATTAGAATGCATGAATACCTTTATTGTAATTTTCTTTAAGCTTGACGGATACATTTGTCTCCCTCAGCTACAATGTAGCGCGGCCTATCATCACCCAAGTTTTTGATTTTTTTTTAAAGTGTTATTTGATGTAATTTTTTTTTGGGTAAAAGAATGAAAATACTTATAAAGTAGTCAGTCATAGACATTTAATATCTTAAAGTGATAACAAGAGTAAAAATATTCATAACGTTACATGGATAAGTGTAAAAGTAATTAGATTGTTAATTTTGACCTAACACCATTAACTTTAATTATTAAATGCTAACTGTGCATGCTACGTGTCAGTTTTTGCTAACGTAGACTAAAAAAGGAGAAAAAATACCCACAAAATTATCACCCAGGAGCAAAAATACCCTATAACGCCATTAGAGTAGATGCAAAAGTGATCAATCTATCCAATTCCTTAAATGTTGACCGTTTAGTTAACACCTAAGTAAAAATTCACTATTTTTTCATTGATGTGGACAAAAAATATTTTTAGATAAAATTCTCTAGAAGTTAATCGATTATTGTATAAATATCATGTGAGAAAATGTTATTTTGACTGAATATCAAATTAAATTGCTTGTTTCTTTACAGCAGTGGTGAAAATCATTTGAAAATTTTGAATCTATCGTGAATGTAATTGCTTAAGGTTGTGACAATATTCTTAAGCTAGATGTGCTTAGTGTCGATCTTCGATTTTGAACCACCTATTTCACTATTTTAAATATCAGGTTTTGCAGACAGAAAAATGAGTGGATGGGGAGAAAGGAAGGAGGCGAGATGTGTGATAATGAAAAGAAACCATATGACATTGATTTTGATGGATTAGTCACATTGCACCTATGAAAGTAATATTATAGATACTCATATAATGATTGATCAACGTCCGTAAAAATTTATCTTGGAATAATTTTTGTTTACACTAGTGAAAAAATAGTCAACTTTTGCTTAGGAGTTAACTAAACAGTTAACATTTAAGGGATTGAATGTATTGGTCACTTTTGCACCAACTCTAGTAACGTTACGGGTATTTTTGCTCTTGGTCGATGACTTTGTGGGTATTTTTGTCCTCTTTTTTTGTCAACGTCAACAAAGACTGACACGTGGCATGTACAGTCAGTATTTAATGGTCAAAGTTAACAGTGTTAGGTCAAAGTTAACAGTCTAATTACTTTTACATCCATCCATGTAATGTGGATATTTTTGCCCTTTTCGTCACTTTAGGATACTGAATGCCCGTGATTGACTATTTTGTAAATATTTTTACCCTTTTTTTCTATACTTTAGTTCCATGAACGTAATCCTTTCCAGATTGATAACTAAAAATAAAAAATACACTAAATTAACATTGTGTTTCAAATTTTAAGCAAAGACCAAAACGTGAATTTCCCTGCGCGCAAGAGACAACAATTAGGTCATCTCTTTTTCTTAACCTAAAAAGTCATCAAGTTAACAATTCACAAATTATGAAAATGCAACTCTTCTCAATATATTAATCACATCAATATATCAATATATATAATTAAAAGGAAGTTGTATTATTCATAAGTAACCCGTTAAAAATAATGTGATAAAAAATTGTTTACGGTAATTTGCAAAATATACAAAGAAAGTCAAGCATTGATAAAAAATTTGAGCAAATATTCGTTAATCCTCTAAGAATGGTAAGGGAGGCTAAGTAGAACATTCAAGAAAGTACCGGAATGATATTGTTTGGTAAATGATATATATTTAAAGAATTAAATGTTAATAGAATATGATGATGTTGTGCACTTATTTAACTAATTTTATTTAGTTGAATAAAGCGTGCTATTGTTGTAGTAGGAGTCATTACCTAATTTTTCAATTTTTCATCTAAGGAAAAAAAAGTAGATTAGACCTGATTTGGGCTGTTTTTTTTTTATTTTTAAATTATTTTATGAAATTTGTAATGAACAATTATGAATGTTGATGGATGTTATTCATGCATTTCATGCAATAAGACAAGGCCCTCGTGGTGACATGCGAGTTTCCATTACAAATTTACAACCTTGTAAGTTACTCCTTCCAATATTTTTATAGGGTTTCGGCCAAAAAAAAAATGATACGGTATTTTAACCCTCACATGGTTTAATAAAAATAATCAAATAGTCAACAGTTAATAGTATTTCTTCTGTCTCATATTGTTAGACAATTTTAAGAGAGATGTGCTATCTCAAAATATAAAATATTTGGAGAAAAATAAAATTTTTTTAATTGATACTTTTTTAATATTATCTTTTCCATTATATCCTCTTTCTTTAATATTATATCATTAATTATTTTATAAAATTTTTCACATTTTTCCAATCATATCTTTAGATGAAATAAATATAACAACTTTTTTTTTTTTGCCAAATGAGATAAATATAACAACTTAGTTTTTTTAAGTCTTACAAATGAAAGTAAATTATATAATTACAAGAAGAAAAAAGAAGTTCAGCATGCCACTGAGGTTTCTGCTTATACAAATAAATAGAAATAAAACATTTGAACATTTAGAGAACATGCTAGATGCTAAATATGACAACATATTGAAAATATCCACATTAATAACTTGAATGAAATATTATAAAGTATGGTTGTAATTGAAAATATATATAACAAACTTATCCAATGACTTATGTTTTAAACCAAATGAGATTTTTAAAAAAGGTCCTATATTATACTCTTTCTGTTCATATATATATGCACACACACACAAAGGTAGTGTTTTTAACTAAATTTTACATATCAATAAAAATTTATTATTTGGTTGAAATTACCTAAAATAACAATAATTTTTTTAATTTTATTCCTAATAATGTCATAATTAATATCATCGTGATAATGGGCAAAGTACACAATTAATATCTCCTTTATTTTTTAAGACAATAACAAAATTATTTAATTACTCAAAAATATCATGACACTCTTTGTATTTAAAAATTAAAAAAATTTAAAAAATACTTTATATATAAAATTGGAAGGAGTAGTATAAAGAGAGTTAAGGTAAAGGGAGGAACTTTCATTATTGTTCATTATCATCATTAGTTAGTAGATTGGCTCTGTTCAGCCTTAGATTTTGTTCAATCTTCAAATTCCAATACGCATCAAAGATGTCTAAACATGAATAACTATGGTATATTTCTTCTGTTTTTATATATAAGATATTATTAATTGAGTTACACAAACTAATAAAAATTAGTCATCTGATTAAAAATACATCAATATTTTAATTTTGTCCTTAATTGTTGTAAATAAAAAATGAATATCTTTTTTAAAGTAAATTAATAAGAGTTATTATCATTTTCTCCTTTAATTTAATAAGAATATAATGATCTATTTATTAAAAATATGCTAACAACCTCTTATATTTATGAATAATTTTTTTTAAAAAACTTTTTATATATAAAGATAGAGGGAGTATTATTTTTCTCATTTCTATTAATTAGTTTTGAGCTCCATGAATTCAACTCTAATATGCTCCTTCCAAATCATACACAAGAACATAGTATTGGTAATTATTTCATTTCACAGCTTTTAAAAAGACTAGTCGAAAAATTTAATTTTTTTAAAAATGCACATTTTTTCAATTATATATTTATTAAATGCAGTATATAAGTGCCTTGTAGTAACAATTAAAATTTTAATGGACTATTTTTTTAAATAAAAAATTAATCATTTAATCTTGTAATCTTGACTCAATTATAATTCAACTTTTAAATTTTAACTTATTGTAATTCAGTTATTATAGTTTTAATTCAGTTGTATTTCACTCCTTGAACTTTAATTCTTGCAACCCAATTTCTATAATTTTAATAATTTCAACTATTAGTCTTATATTTAAAAAATATAAATATTAAAAATATTTTAAATTTTAAATTTTTATAATATTTATAAAAATTAAAAGGGATTTAGTAATTTAAAATAGTAGTTCTAAACTTTAACATAATTTTAATCTTTATAATTTTATTTTTTAAAATCTAGAGTCTAACATTTTAAATGGTTAAAATTATAAAGATTGAGTTGCAAAGAATTATAATTTAGGAATGAGTTACATCCAGTTCAAAATTATAAAGACTGAGCTATAATAAATTAAAATTTAAAAATTAAGTTATAACTAAGTCAAAATTATAAAAATAAAATGATAATTTTTTCAAAAAAATAATTAAGTATAATATAGTTGAAAATTATATGAATCATCCAGTGCCCTATGCTCTAATATTATAAGGCATTTCTTTTAAGTATCATGTTAAAAAATGTAAAATATTTTAAATTTTTCAACATATAATTAATATAGTTTTTCAAAAATATCATTTACTGGAGCTACAATTAATAATGGTTTTTTTAAATGAGAAAACTTATTAAAGAAGGATAATAAACATAGAAAAATCATGTAATTTTAAATATTATTAATTAACTTATTAGATGAGTTAAAACTTAAAAGCATTATTTTATAATTATGAATTTGGACCAAATATGACTTCTAGAAAATTTTGGGAAGATGCGAGTACTCAAATGTCGAGGGTAACATGGTAAATTGGCAATGTCTTCCGTACACCTAAATCCTTGTGCATTTGTTGGCCACGCAAAGGGTAGTATTGGCATTTAACAAAAATCGAAGTACTGCACACGGTAACTATGTTCCCATTCTCTTGTTCAATCCCCCCTCTCTCTCCTCGATTTTCTCTCTCCACACCATCGTACGCCTTCTTCGCCACTACGGCCTCTCTCTCTCTCTCTCTCCAGCCCACACATACAATGGGGGGAGAGACATAAAAACAAAAAGGTGGTAGACAGATGCATGAGCCACAATTAACAAAATAAACAATATTGAGACCATACTCGCCACCACCTTCTTCTTCCTCTTCCGTAAAAGTCTAATCTTCTCGTGGGTTTTCTCTTCTGGGTTCTGCGCTTTCTCAGCAATTAATCATCAGCTCATCTGACACTTTCTCTTCAGGTACCGCCAACAATGGCCTCTTCTCTTCAATGTCTCCGTGCTTTTCTCTGTTGTCTCTGTGGGTTTTACTTGTTCTTGGTCGTGGCCATTCTGTGTTGACGGCTTGAAAGTTAAAACAACTTGGTCCTCCTCCTTGTTTTCTTGAATTTTGGTCTTTCGGGTAATTCGAAAGTGTTTCTGGCAAAATGTTGTTTATGGTCAATCCGGTCACCCCTCTGACACGGTGGTTGGCTGAATGAGTTGACTTCTGCCAAATCAGAGACATTCGGAGTTAATGTTTTCAAATTCTTATTCCATTCAATATTACGGGTCTCTGGGGTTTTAATTGTATGTGAATTACAATATCAACTTCTTCTTGTCAACTTTAGTCTCTCTCAAGAAAGGTTATCAACTTATCGCTCGCGAGCTTTCAAGGTTTAATCATACCTTCTGCTTTTGTTCAAATTGAATTATCGATTTCTATGGTTCTTGTAGAGGTTTATTCGACATGAAAGAGACTATAATCATGTCATGATCCAGGTTTTCTGTTACTGTAATGGTTTGTTTATACATATAGGTTTGGTTTTGTCGGTCTAAGCATGGGGGCACTATTGATTTATTGCTTCAATTTTACTGCTAGCAGTCCTTGTATGAAAATCTCTTTCTTGATATTTCATTATGAGCATCTTCCTCCTTCTTTGCTCTCCTCTGATATTTATTCACTTGTTTTAGGTACTTGGACTAGGAGAAGACCATATATTTATATTATAAAAACTATAAGTAGATCTTTTTAAGAAGGCACAGTCATTACTCATTACTCATTTGTAGCAAATTGTTTTGTAATTACATGTTCTCTTCATCTAGTTTTACTATATCTTACTATCTTTTTCTCCAATTGTTTTCTTCCATTATAGCTCTAACTTTAGTTTTCATCTGCCTGAAACTATTGACTGTGTTCTAGCTACTCCACCTCCTGTGTCCAAGGAAAAGATCAGTATGATAGGAAGGCTTTTGAGTTAAACATTGTGCTCTAATGACTTGTTAAGATATTGGAAATAACCATGGTAAGCTTGAGAAGGCGCAGACTTTTGGGACTATGCTCAGGTAAATGTTGGTAAAATTGTATCTGTTGTGAACTGTTCCTAATGGAAGGAGGAGAACCATGATTTGGGTTGTTTAGAGTCTCTGTGGTGAGTTGTATTTTAGAATGAATTGACACTATTCACCACAGTTACTGGGCATTTGCAGGGAACAGCTCCTTTGTCACTCCGCTTCCTCTGTATTGTGAGAATTTAACTGCTTATGAACAATCAATTCAGCGTGCCAAACTTAAGAATTCAAATCCTATGATCTCAGATGACAAAAGCATCCTGGACAGTGTAAGAATGCAATTATTAATAATAGTAAATATTTAAAGTATTAAAGTGGAAACATAAAAGTTTGTTGAAGCGGGCTAGTGGTGTGGGTAGGTATGCAGTGAGAGGTCTCTGGTTTGTCCTCCATTTGATCATTGTAAAAGAAAATGGTAAAAAGGATAGCATCTGAGGTTGGCGGTCTCCATGATCTCATCATATATGTCTTCTTTTGCTGGATGAGGCATATGGGTTAACTACTCACTAATTAGAAATGGAACCATAATTCTAATAGTTTCTTGCAAGGCTACATATCCAATTGAAGCATGGAGTTCGGAAGCAATTTTAAGTTAACAAAGCAATCCTCTTTCTTCATTTCAAAATATTTATATGGCAGAAAATGTCAGAAGGCTACAAATTAGAGGCTCTATGCTCAATTTTAGGACTGACAGCTCTCCTAGGATGACACGTTCTGATTTAATAGATTATATTTTCATAACAGTTTCATGCATGAAAACCTACATGCTCCTATCACTATACTTAATATATGAAGTTCATGTTATTTATTTTGATTTTTTTGGGCCCTTTGGGTAGGATGGGTTAGTTGCTTGGCTGTCCAAAAAAGAAAAAAGTGAAAGGAAAAGATTGAACTGTTTGTTGAAAGAGGCAAGGTGCTAATGAAAACTTCATGTATTTTTTGTTTTTTCCACTTCTTCAATTGGTTGAATAAATCCAGAAACTCCTTGATGATGAATCAATGCCTTTATGAAATACAGATGTTGATCTTAATCCATAAGTCATACCATCTGTAAATGGATCAATTAGCATTTGATGTACAGACATGATCATAACAGATACTTTCTAAGTTGACAAGTATTAGAAAGTTTTGTTGTTGGGATCCTTTAATTATTGATATCTTATATGGCTTGAAGCTTCTACGGAACTCATTTAATTTTGTTTCCTAGAATACCGTTGTGAAAGAAGAACCTGGATCATCGAATGCATCGGGCTCTAGCTCATCAAAGGAGCAGCCCAGTGAACAGGTTTCAGGTTTGTTGTTTGAGAGACATGTCTTTTTCCTATCCTGGGGTGTCTGATTTAGTTTATGACAAATTAACTGAAGCAGTAGTTTGCTTATTGCACTATCAGAGGTGTTTTTATGTGTTTTGTTAAACTTAATGTATTGATATTCATCAATATGTTTTCGACTATAATTGCATGACATTGTCACATGAAAGTATATCACGCCCCAGAAGTAGTAGACAGTGGAAGCTTCTATGACGTGAGAAAAATGAGCAACAATGGAACTCTGTTTGGAATGAACCATGTAATATTTTCATTTGCGACCAACAAGTGATGTTCAAATTGGCTAATTTGATAAATTTGTCAGACTGTTCATAGGAAATTGTAGATCGAAGTTATCAAATGACATTTTTCTTAACGTACAAGACTTTCCTAATGCTCTCTTAACGTTTAACTCTCTGAAGAAAAGTATAGTTGTTAGTTTTCTGGAACATCAGTGGTTGATGAGTTTCTAAAAGACAAGAAAACAAATGCTTGATGAGATGATTTGGTATAGTTGATTTATTTAACTGATAGCCATTGTATGACCTTTTAAGTGGTCATCAATGACTGCTTCTTCAAGCATCATTAAGAGATTTCCCATACAAGTTTATCAGCTTAATTAAAAATATTGCTTTTGGAGATACTAAAATACAGAAAACTCTTAGCAAGGTCAATCAGTTATTACGAATCAGTGATCTACCAATGGATAATTGGATATCCTGTACAGCTCATTTGTTTGTGTGTCATCAACTTCAGCAAATGATGAATCACCTGCTGGCACACAATCTTGGACTTTGTGTTATCCGTCTATATCATAAGGCTTCAAATGTTCCACGCAGAGAAACATATGATTTTCATGGATAACCAACAGTCCGCAAGTGGATCTGAAGTTGGCAGACACGTTTCGGGAGTTTACTTGTCTCGGTTCTGTTTTGGAGTAGTTTTGTTTAACCAATTGGTTTTCATCTCTTGAAGAATTTTGTAAGATACTTATGGCTACTGGCTTGTTGGTTATGGTTTTCATTGACTTCATTTTGCAGGGCCTCCTATCAAGCGCAGAAAGCGGCACAGGAGAAAGAATTCACATAATCAAGAAGCATGTCCCATGAGAGGCGTCTATTTCAAAAACATGAAATGGCAAGCAGCTATAAAGGTGGATAAGAAACAGATCCACCTGGGGACTGTTAGTTCCCAGGAAGAGGCTGCTCACTTGTATGACAGGTAGTACCTTGAGTTGTAGGTTTTTGCTACCTACAATGGCCTCCTAAGTAGCTCTTTCCCAAGTCATCCTGAGAATATTCATATCTTCTGCTTCTGTTTGGTTATCTGCTAGCAGCAGACCTACTCATACTCACATTGACTGACACTGAAAATGTCTTATTTAAATTCTTAACAGCCACATGTCATGTCTTTCTTTGAGATTTTTTTTCTTCCTTTGATTAACCATTTCTGATGAAATTGCTTGATATATTGGGAAGTTTACTTGATTATCTCTGTCTGTGTATGAGCTTGTATGGTATTATATTCAATCTTCATCAGAGTTTCTCCTTCTCCCCTCATTTCTGATTGGCAGGGATGTATATGTAAAGTATTACATATCGTAACGCGAGTATATCATTTTCTATGATGCACTGTCATTTCTATATGGCCACCAATCCTGCATCAACTTTCCTTCGGTCAATCACAAAGACCATTAAACTAGCTGCCATATAAGTATGTTAGATCCTCATTAAGAAAGACATTGTTGGAGGTTTAAAATTTTTAGAGAAAGGTGTGAAATCTAGAAGCCGAAAAATGTTATCCTTTGGATTGTAATAGAATTTCATCTTTCCATACCATGATCTCTGTGTTTAGCATATGTGCATTGCTTATTTGTTGTCAGGGCTGCTTTCATGTGCGGGAGGGAGCCGAACTTTGAGCTTCCAGAAGAAGAGAAGCGAGAACTGCGTGAATTTAAATGGGAAGAATTTCTTGCCATGACGAGGCAGGCAATAACCTGTAAAAGTATTCTTCCTCTTCTAAAATTTTCATGGATAAATTACTTTGATGGTGTTTATGGTTTCACATATTTATTATTTAATCCTTGTTGTTTAAAAATTTATCTCTAGGTCCTATAATTTAGATGTCTGTCAGTGTGGCATTAACAATAAATAGGAAAAGCTTAAAAAAAAAAAAAAGAATCCAGAGTATCTAAGTTAGGCTCACTAACCATCTTGACAGTCTATAATATTTACAAACCATACATACTAGTGGATTTCATTATCATCTACTTTTATACATTTTGTTGACATAAATCGCACATGTTAAGAGTGAAAAGATGACAATTGGTCTGACCGTGTTTGTAAAACTCATGGTGCATCTTCTAAATAACGATAGGGCTGAACAACATGAAATTTAAGCATGACTTCCATTTTCTTGCATTTTAATTGCTGTTCTATGCAAAATATTCTAGAACACAAGAGAAGAGTTGGCCCTGGCTCACGCAGGTCGGAGCTGCCACCGGTGCAGAAATATGAATGGGACAGTAAGCAAGGAGCAAGTGGATCCTCTGCTTGTGAAGATGCAGAGCAGGAAGTATCAGTCTCTTGAAAATTAAGACTGAGCAAAGATGAAGCCCTAGTTCTAACAGTTCCATTTTAGTAGCTAGTTTCCATTTTCATATATAGAAAAACATTATGTTATATTAGGCCAGATTTTGATAGAATTCATTGTCCCTAAGATAGTAGATTACTATAGCTCAACTTAATAAAAGGGTAACAAGGAAGCACAAAATATTATTAACAAATACATGACATGTGGACATATTTGATGCTACTGAAGCGTCTTGTTGTGTTGTATCTAATTCAGGTGATAACTACGATATGGTTCCATTTTTTTAAGGATTGGTTGGTGTTTACTGTTTCTGCCTTTGCATTTGATGTAGTGCAGGGCTGTCTTTGTTCCAACATGGCCATGAACGTGTATTGTTCCTGAAGAAAAATGTTTCGTAGCAATTAGTTACGAAGCTTACGTTAAACTTGTGTGTATTTCCAATGCACTTGAACTTCTTTTGATGCACTGATTACTGGATCTGTTGATGGAATGATGTAAATGAACAATTTGGTGTTTTGGGAGAACATCAAAACTTTTCAAAGCATTCACATCACTTTTTTCCCCATGGTTTTCAGAGAAATATAGTCTGCACGTTTCAGCCTTTGGCATATTTGAGCATTACAAGGGATTGAATTTGTGACTGTTTGTACATTATTATTTTCAAGTTTTCTAAATTATCTCAGTGCCTATATTTTTGAGTACTATAATATCGTGCAATTTATATATCCGGTTCTAACTAATGAGATAATGTTTCTTCTTGTTATATAGTTCTTTAGTTGAAAGATCTCATGACTTGTGAAGATTCTTATGTTTCAGCTTCCTATTTCTCTTAATTTATCATTAAATTAAATTATGGGCTTATGCTAGGTGCACTATTCATAATTTATGACTAGAGCTGTTTTCTATTATATATTACTCTTTAAGATAATAAGACATCGTATTGATTATAAAATTTTAAATATAAATAGTGTGACTCATTTTTTTATTACTTATAAGTATTTTTATATGAGGTAATTTTATTTGAGATACAGTGCCGGCTCATTTTAAATATATATAGATTTCACTAGTAGTTTTTATAAATTACTACTATTAAATTTTAAATTCTTTAAGCCCAAAAAAAAATGACATTTTTTTCCCTTACAACCCTTCATTAATCAAATATAGTTAAATATAAAATTCTAATTGGATGTGAAAATAGTAATATGATACATGAAGAATCATATGTAGTTAAATCTAAAAAAAAATATATTAAGTGATTTACAAGTTATTAACGATATAAATCATTTTTCTTTCCTTGTCATAATAAAAGAAAAAGAGTCATTTATAACTAGCTAATTGTTTTTTTTTGGGTCCCACTAGCTAATTATATATTAATATACTCGAGATAACAAAAAAGCTTATCAATAAAAAAAAAATGACCCAAATGTAATATGTATCAAGCAAAAAAAAAAAAAAACCGAATATGCCTATCTCTGTAGACTCGGACGATTTTTCTTTTTCTGTTTGGGCTAGCCTGATCCATGATCTTGCCCAAGGACGAATCATTCTGAATCCAGTTCACTCTTTTGGCCCATCTACTTGGACTGTGTTTTCACCGGAATCACTGCACGCCGCGTCCGCCTCAGCACGGTGTTTTGCTGCTTCTGAAGCTCTGGTGCTGCATTTTGGCGACCGTCCACAACAATAGTAGTGGCTTGTGGGTCTGGCGGCAAAATCAGCTGATTATAAGAAGTCAAGAGTGTTGTTTTTGAGTTATAGGAGTCTGTAAGAACGAAGAAAATGGCTGGTGAGGATCGAGTAGCCCCAAATGGACTAGATGCATCTTCTTCGCCTTCGTCGGTTTCATCGTCTTATGATTGGAAGAAGCGCGTTTTATCCCGGCACTTTTAGCAGGTGCTCTGTTTATTTTTTCTTCTGATTGTTTCTAAGATCACGATTTTGTTGGGTTCTTTACCTCCTACTCGGATTCGATTATTGTTTACGTTAATTTTTTGTCCGGAGAAGCAGTTTTTAATGGTTCGAGTTCAGGGCTGGATTTTTCCCCTTATTTTTTGTATTTGAGTTTTATTGAGGCAATGAGATTATTTGTTTATGTTGTCGCGGATTTGTTACCATTTTGGATCTTCTGAGAGCAGGGGTTGTTGGTTCTGGAGCTGGCTTGTTTTCGAAGCATCGGACAACTCTCGGTCTTGCGAATGTTACTGCTAGTTATGCAGCTAACTTTGCCATTGTCACTGGTTGCTATTGTGGTAAGTTCTTGAATTTGGTGTCTCTGTGCGTGATTACTCATTTATTGTTAAATCTTGAGCTTGTAAGGCTTTTAAGCCATGTTGTCCTGGTGGTTTTGACCATGTTGTTTGGGTATGTTAGGCTGTTAGCTTGTTTTATTTTGATGTCTGCTTAATTGATCTTTACTGTTTGGAAGGAGATTTTCTCCGTTTGTTAAGCTTCCCATGAGTGAATTTAAATTAAGAATCTGGAGTCAGTCAATTATTAATTGTCACTCTTTCACATGCTACCCAGAGAATTGAAAGATGGTACATTGTCTTGAGAGGATGCCACCAACTGATCAAAGTCAACAAACAACCCTTTTGAAGAGCTCATATCTACCATTACCATCTTAGGTGGTTCCTGTGAAATGATGTCTTGTGTCTAGTGTGTGCTGGAGGCATTCCAATATGGAGGGTGACCCTTGTGTTCTTGTAGTCTTTAAATCCATTTTCCCTGGTATCTCCATCTTTATAATTCTTAATTGTCCTTGTGGAAACGCTTTAATGAATAGATACGTAGGATTTTGGAAAAGAAAATAACATCTTGTCAACAAATGAAGCACGCCTTCCTGATTATAGGGGAGGATTTTTTTTAGGTGTCTCTGTATATTATATAAGTGAGCAAAGAACCAAGAACATGTTTGCTATGCATTTCTGCCAGCAATTGCCCATCCTATCAAACCCATTCCACCACCATCCCTTTCCTATCTGTTGCTCCCCACCCTCCTCATAAAATTCTTGGCTCTTTGTTCAGCTCTATGCCAGGGAAATATGAGTATTAATTGAAGATAAAAGACTGTATTATCGCTAATTGTTGTTGGATTTGAGAGGGAAAAACATTGGTCTTATATTTAAATTGTCAATTCCAAGGTGAAAATTCATTATATGTAAAGTGCATCTTGCAAATGAGTATCAAGAAAAGTAGAATGTTGAAAACAATATTTTATCTTTGGATGACAAGTTGATACTCTGAATTGAACTGGAATGAATTATCTAATTGGTCAGGGGCACGTGAATTTGTTACTGCAACTAGAAAAACTGGACCTGATGACCTATGGAACTCTGTAATAGCTGGATTTGGAACTGGTGCTCTTCTAGGGGCGTCTGCAAGGTCAATTTCTGCTACTCTCCCTCTTATATATTGATGAGAATTCAACTTTTTCTTCTTCCTTCACACATAATTTTTTATATTAGCTATTTACTGCAACCCAGCTTTATCATATAATATATATATAATATATATATGTTTTGGACCGTGTACTAGCTCATATGAGGCAATTTAGACTGAGACAAAGCCTTGTACACTAAGATCCATGGTTTCCCTTTTCTTTTCATGTTGAACGTTGTCGTGATTCTGTTTTAGAAAGTTGTGTCTTTTTTCCTTTTCTTTGTGTATTTTTCGTTTTCCTGATGATTCCTCAATTGCCATATAGTTTGGCAATAGTAAATAGTTGAGCATATATATTTTTGGATAATTTTTATGATAATGTTCTAGTATAAAATTACAAAATTGCATTACCTGGTGCAAAAATGCATATTCATATGCTATCATTGCTTGCATCTGGTTTGCCACAAGACTACCATCCTTCATGGATATACCAATTCCAATCTTCTGCCATCAAAATATAATTGCTTATGGCGTCTTTGGAGAGAGATGAGGAAAAAGAGAGAATCAGTATAAATAGAAAAAGGGAATATCATAATGCCAATACTCTGCTGGCTACTCCGTGCCTCTCTGGTTCACTACAATAGTTTAAACTGCAGAGGGCATAGGTTTTGGCGCTGGTACCTAAAGGGGGGGGGGAATTCTTTTGTACCAATTTCTTTCTGAACATATGACTGCATGAATGTCTTTCAAGCATGAAGTTATGGATAATTTCCGTATAATGTGTGATTAAAGAGATTTTTTTTTTGGGGGAGATTTTAGGAGGTCAACGTGGTGCAGCTAAATACTCAGCCATCTTTGCCATTGCGGGTACCACAGCAGATTTTTGCTTTTCTGAAGCTGAAATCTGTGTTGAGGGACTACAATAAATCTGTATGTCAGGAAGATGAGAATTCACAGAAGACTAGCAGTAGCAGCTGGTTAAGATTGCCAGAGAAGGGAGTGGTTCCCAATCCGAGTGCTTGATGAGGAAGCCCTTGCTGCAAAACGGGCTCAGGAAGAGAAGTTCCTTGCGCAGCAAGCTAGAATCCGAAATCTAAGAAAAGAAGAATCATGAGAACTGCAAATTTTGAGTGAGGATGTAAAAGTTCTTGGATTAGGAAATAAAAGGATTTCCGGCCTTCTTCCCAAGCTGCTTGGCAAGGGCTTCAACAGAGATTTTGAAAGTATTTGCTACTTGGAAATGATTTCCAGACTCATGATCCATCTGCTAGGCATTCAAATCAAAAGGGATTTTTTATAAAACAAATTTCAAATACAAGAGCAGATATGTAATTATTATTTTTTGTGTGCAAAACATTATCAGGATAGATAGATAATTTCAGGTTTGATAATTTAAGTCCAATTGCAAGGATAAATGATAAGGAGTAAAATGTTTATAAATATAGAAAAACAATGGTAACAAATTATATTATCACAGTTTAGACTTCACACGGCGTTGAGGGGGCCACGTGATCTAATAATTACGAACTATGCCATTGGAATTGGAAAATAAGGGTCATTCGAAGAGGTTCATGATGTGGACGTGATGAGGTGGGAAGGGTGAGCATGTGGAATCAATATACCAAGCTCATTTACCAATTAAAGTTAATATTAGTTGGGGATTGAGTTTCAATCCTTATGTATATAATAATTTATTTAAGAGATGTCTGTTTATTACTTTCATTATGTAGTAGAGATATTATCTGCTATTAGTGAAATTTACTTCTTATATTTATAAAAATCCATATATTGAACTCACTTTACTAAAAAAAAAAAATTATCTAGCTCGATAACAATGGAATTATTATAATTATATAATGGTCTATTATATAAATTAAAAGTTGAAATAATTGGAATTGTAAAATTGAAT